AACTAAAAATCCTTGAAGCATTATACATCAAACAGTTGAAACCCAACCTAACAAAATCAATTATGGCATCTCTACAAATATTCTTAAATGTCTATATTTGGTAACAGAAGCCATTGGTCTATACCAACGGCTTCCCATACTTCATACTTCTACAATTCACTCTCGTGTGGTCATGTGTGACGTCATGAGATGCGGTGCGATTTTCGCTTCTAGCGTCTTATATGCACGTGTTTATCGTTGTTTAGAAATCATCTATGTAAACAATGACAGACTATCATCACTGTCGTGTCCGTATATTACTTAATATGTTGTAATTGACATCTTTGATAATGGCTTATATCAGCCGAAAGCTTAGATTGTATTAAAAAAAAATATGGATCAATATTGTGAATTTCTTTCTTCGTTCAACGATAATGTTATTAAACTTATCAGACGCTACGAAAAAAATTTACATAAAATAAATAGACAACACTTGTCTATATTATTTAATGAAACGTGCATGAATATATATATATATATATATATATATATATATATATATATATATATAGAAATTCATCGAAAACTTCTTCTAACAAATATAAATATTAAGCGATAAAAAACAGAATTTCTCAAAATTTCATAAAATTAAATAAGTCACATTCACCACATTTCCTCCATATTTCATCAGTGAGGAGTAAGTTCCACGCGAACAGCTTCTCACACAACACTGCCCTATGGAATCGACTCCCAACAGGATGTTTCCCCGATCATTACAATCTTAACCTATTCTATACCTCTGGTTTTTATTGTTATATATTCTTACAATCTGAAAAATTTCCTGGCTTTAAATAACCTGCAAAAGGTTGATAAACCGTAGAAAACGAATCAATCACACTCCAACAATTAACGCGTTCTCGTCTTTCAAAGATTATGTCCGTAATCTTTGATAATTTCTTATATAGTAGGTACCTCCAAATCTTCGTTAAAAAAAAGTGCATGATGAAAATAAATGCACAAATCAATAGAAACAAAATCTTTGTATTATTACTAAGATGAAAAATCAAATATTTTTTTTTAAATCTTGTTTTTCTGGTGCACACGTAGGTTGATAAATTTTTTACGGAAATTTTGGGCGCCTTGTTGCGCTGAGAAACATACTGGTTTGGAAATTCTTTCAAAAATCTGATAATTGTCGGACTTTAATGAAAATTTTTTTTTGAAATGTCTCTTTTTAGAAAATCTTCGTAAAAATGAACTTTTTTTTTTACATCTGTTACCCTTGACTTATTTAATTTTATGAAATTTTGAGAAATTCTTTTTTTTATCACTTAATATTTATATTTGTTATAATGACATGTTTTCGATGAATTTAAATCATCAAATATTTGTGCTCAAACAGAACTCCCAGCTACAGAAAATCTGTCGTAAAGCGTAAAATAAAAAAAAATGTAATAGAATGCACAATATAATTTGAATAATTTCTAATTGCTTTTATGGATAAAATATACTATAGACACTACTTTCTTAAGAAAAAAAAAATTGATCAATAATGAATTTTTACAAGAATTGTTTTTATTTAAAAAGAAATTAATTAGAATACTTTGCAAACTTTTAAATCTTTTAAAATTTTGTATATATTTTTAGATGTCAAGTGATATATTTATTAAATTAAAATTGTATTTACGAATCATAAATGAATAAACTCACTACAAACTAAACAGATTTCAGTGCCGCACTTTCCATCCTTTGTTAGAATAATTCTGTAATGTTGTTGATAAGTTGGTGTTGAAATACTTATCTCTACGTGATATTATATGTTTAGTGTAACAGGGTGGGATTTTGAGGTTGTATCATGTAATTATCCCATTGTTATATGTATTTGTAGTAGTAATTAATAGGAATCCTTTTTACTTTTTTTTATACTGAAAATGAAATGAATTAAAACGTACAATAATAAAATAAACAATAATACTCAAGACACGTGTTGACTTTAAATAACAAGAATGTGTATTTTTATTTTTCGTGTTGTGAATTACATATATTGCTATGGTGTGTGTTAAAAAATGTTCTCAGTGTTACTGTCTCTTTTTAATTCTTTAAAACATATACTTGTTTTGCTTGTTCCAAGAATTTCGTTCAAGGAGGGATGAGGATACGTGAGTGTTGGGCCTTTTTACTACTGCCCTGTCACCTGCTACTCTACTGACTCTAACCTGCCATCGCTAGTGGTAGAATGGTCGTTTTTTATAATCAGAGAAGTGCCCTTTGCCGTGCTGATGTTGCTACATGCCTTACTTCTTCCCTATCTCACAATGCGAATTTTTTCTAAGCTCTATACTAAACATTAAATCTGTTATGAAAAAAGAACTAAACAAAATGAACACAAAACGATCAGCTTTAAAAAAAAAAAGGACTCGTAACTGGAAAAACCGAATAAAAAAAGAATGTTAACAACAAATATTTTTCACACCCAACCCAGTTCTGCGGAATCAGAATCAACGTTGAGTTTAAGCAAGCGAATGAGCCAATTGGAGTAAAGTGCCATGCAGATTTAAATTTTTCCCACTTGTGACGAATGCAGCTACCGATTTAGTTTGCATGCTAGTTAACATTCGTGTCAGTCAGCTGTTGGCTCTCACGCTGGCCAATAGAATCTTTCTGCCTATTCGTGGCAGCCAGCTATAGACTCTCACTCTGGCCAGTAGAAAATGGCCGCAAACTACATGAAAACTGCCGTAGAAACATGAAAAGAATCGATTATTTCCATTATCGATGGAAGTTGGGAAATACAAAGTGGTCTTGGCCTTCCTGCTAACTTGGAGTATGTGCATGTAAATTTTGGTGCAAATCCGTCGAAAATTGCGGCCGTGCATTCGTCACACACACACACACACACACATCCTGCCTTTTATAGATAGAGATTTTAGAATGATGAAATATCTGTCTCATCTTTCATCACTGGTGGCATAAATTTTTTTATCTCTGTTTCAGGGATGATGAAATATCCTTATTTCCTATTATCACTGATGGCAATGTTATTTTTAGAATGATAAAATATCCTCATCATTCTGGATCATAACACTTACAACATATTTAAATTGTTGTACATGTTTGGTATCTCTAATTTGTAATTTGCATGTTGGTCAATTTTTTTGTTAGCAACGATGCATTAAGTCTTGAGGCTTATTCCTTTATTCTCGCTTTCCTTCACTATTAGATAAATTTCAGTCTGTCAGTCAAGCTAAGAACTTGTCAACACCTTAAATAAACAGCTACAGCCGTGTTAAAAAGATGCACTTCTGCGATATTTTAAACTTAAAGTAATATTTATCAGATTAAGTAAAGCTTAAATCAGTTAATATTTCGCAAATAAAGTTTCAGAAAAGTATATTTTATTTTTGGAAGATGTTTTAATAAGGAGAATTACATCGTAATGACGGAAGGTTAAAAATGGCGTTAAAATCAGCGATTTTATGAATTTCAAATCGAAAACTCCTTCCAGTAAATTTAAATTAGTTTTGAAATGCAGCAAAGTATTTTGCTTATTGGAAATATTAAATGTAATCTATTAGCTTGAAATTAAAACAAAAATAAAAGCTTCAAGAAAGATTTTTTATTTCTAAAAATTCATTTTAAACCTTAGTTATCGCGTTTCTGTGGTGATATCTAATAAAAATATATGTATCTTTATTGTGCAAACACGGAGGAGGCTTATACTTAACAAAAGGAAAAGACAGCCGAAATTCCTGTTATGACATACAAAATAATGAGGAAGGAGGGCCTGGCGAATCTGATACTCACGAGTCGAATAGAGTGAAAGAGAAACGAGGGAAAACAACGCATGACATACCTAGATGGCTTAAGCAAGTGGATGACAGAACATTTTCTGGGGGAGATGGTAGAGGGAAAGAACTTTTTGAGAGCTGCAAGGGATAGAGAGAGGTGGAGACCCATGATCGCCTACATCCTGAAAGGAAACGGAACATAGAAAGAAAGAATGTGACTATTCGAAAAGTTTTCTGTGTTAAAACAGAAGATAAAAAGTAACCAAGGTTAATGGATGGCGTATTTTATCCATTAAGATTAAAAATGAATATACGAAAGTGGAAGAATACGTTACTGTAAACTATTGAAAGTTGATCCTAATCATATCTACATTTACCCGCTCACTAAGAATTATATATACAGTGCAACCCGGATATAAGAGAGTTGTCGGGACCGGTGAAGAAGTCTCTTATATCCGGGTTTCTCTTATATCCGGGTTTCTCTTATATCCGGGTTTCTCTTATATCCGGGTTTCTCTTATATCCGGGTTTGGTCGATTTTGTTTAGGTAAGTATGGGGAACACTTTGGGACCAGCGAAAATCTCCCTTATATCCGGGTCTCTTATATCCGGGTTACACTGTATATATATATATATATATATATATATATATATATATATATATATATATATATATATATAAGGAAAAGAACGTCTTTCCAACATAGATATTTGTAAAGAACATGAGACTTATTCAAGAAAGTCGGGAAACCACTCCGCCGATCCATAATAAACACGTCACTATAGAAGGATGAAAATGTGGAGACGGGTGGAAGGTCATCGGGTGGCTAGCTTTGTCCTGACCCGCCACATTAATGCCACGGGCAGATCTTTGGAGCCATCGGTGTAAACCTACCACCGTCACAATTCTTCTTTATTTTTCTCCGTTTCATTTTTTTTTATATCTATTTATTTTTCTTTTTAACGTTAAAAAAGACAGATTATTTACTGAAACCAACTGGAGGCCATTGAAAACAGTTCATCTAGTAAAGCCATTTATTTGTTTTTCTTTAATTACTCATCGGACACGTCTTCACGCGTCAGTTCGTGGAATGACGGGGTTTTTTTTTTCAAATGTTAAATGTATTTAATGTTTCTTCCTAAATGTAATAAAATTTTATTAATACTAATTAATGCTAGGTTGCTTAATTTTTATGGCTAATTCTTCTGAAATTTGTAGTCGTTTTTTAACAGTTGATATGGTTTACTATTTGCACATTATCTATCTATCTATCTATCTATCTATCTATCTATCTATCTATCTATCTATCTAGGACTTTTGGGTTGAAAAATCACAAGACTTAATCAGGAAATTGCGCAAAACGTTCCACTCCGTTATTCTGAACATATTACTGTGATGAGGTAAAAACGGACAAGGGTGGACAAAAAATGGCGGATATCTTTTCTTAAATGGTGGATATCATTGTTCCGACGACTACATTTATTCCACGCAGCACATCTGTTTCTTCCTAAATCTAATAAACATTTTGTTAATTCTAATTTATGCTAAGTTGTTTACTTTTGATGGTTAATGCTTCTGAAATTTGTAGTCGTTGTCTTTTTACAGTTTATATGGTGTAACGTTTGCATATTATCTATCTAGAACTTTGGGTTGAGAATCACAAAACTTGATAAAGAAATTTAGCAAAACAGTCCATTACTTTACCCAAACATATTACTGCGATGGGGTAAAACGTAGAGAGAAGCCGAAGAACATAGGATGACTCACTTTATTCTGACCTCTGCATTCATTTCGCAGAGCAAATCTTTGCAGCCAGCGTTGCAAACCTAGATGTCATATGTTTATTTCTCTCTCATAACGAAAAGAAAATATTTACAGAAACTAACTGGCAGTCACTGAAACCATTTGGCATCTAGACACATCTAGGAAAGTGATTTAATTCATTAATTCCACGTAGGAAACGTCCAAATTTTCTGTACTAGATTAATATTTGGAAATAGAATATGTATTAATTCATATATAATAATAAAGACTATACTGTATTGCATAGATTTTTATACTGATTCTCATCCCTCTCCGGATTGTGTAATTTTTATTAAAAGCCAATTGTTAAAAGAAGGTTCTACCTCCTTATCTACGTATTTTCTTTTCTGCTGTTCACCTATCCGTGGTCACTCGTAGAATTCAGTCAGTTATGTATCATGCGTGATACACACATTGCAATCTAAACAAATTTCCTTTATTCTTCTGTAGTCAGTCAGTTATGTGCCATACGCGATCCACGCTTAGGCGATCATGTATCTTTTGATACATGACTGACGAGGCAGATTTTTCCCGCAGTAGGTTGCCATTTCTTTCTGCAGTAGGCCAGTTGCCATCAAAAGCTATAGAACCCGGTCTGTCCTATTTACATGTATTATATTTATATATGGCATCGGTCTTCCTTTCTTTCTTTCTTTCTTTCTGTCTTTCTTTCTTTCTTTCGGTTTTAATAATCTTCAGTTCAGTTATGTGCCATGCGTGATACACGCTTAGACGATCATGTATCTTTTGATACATGACTGACGAGGCAGATTATTTTATTTTTCCCGCAGTGTGTTGCCATTTCTTTCTGCGGTAGACCAGTTGCCATCCAAGGCTATAGAACCCGGTCTGTCATGTTAATTACTCATAGCTGGGGGAGAAGAAGAGGATTCATATCTTTCCCAAGGGTATTAGCACGTAAGTGAATGTAATGGATTTCACTGGAATTCGAAGTCGGCTCTCCGATTCCTCAATCCGAGCCGCTATCCATTGCTCCATCGTGCCTAAAGTTCATTTTTTTTTAAATCATGGCCACAGAAGCGGAAGTATTATAATATTAGCAATTTGGATAATCTCAGTGACAAAGTGAATGTTCTCGACTCAATAAAATAAAATAAAAATATCCTACGCTGAGGTTGCTAAGATCTAGGATAAAAATGACTTCTCTATCTGTTAAAGTGTTATAACATACAACGGAAAGTGTGACACAGAAATCCGAAGTCGGGTTGGAATGTCAAAATACGCATTTCAAAAGCTAAATAAAGTATTAAGAAACAGGAAATAATACGTGAGAAACAATGACTGCTGAACCGTTATGTAATATCAATCTTCCCGTATATGGAAGTGAATGCTGGAATAATAAATCCTCATTTATGAATGTCGAGTTGTTCTAGGGCACTCGACACCCGCATAAAGCAAGGAAGAGCTTCAAAGAATGTCTATAAGAGTCACTTGCAAAACTACTTCGAGAATTTAAATCATCAAACTGGACCCCCCCCCAGTTACCGAAAATCTACTCTGATTCGTAAAATAAAAAAATGCAATAAAACTAAGACATTATTTAAAATAGAAATATTTGACAATGACGACGCTTGTTTAACGGCAGCCATCATGTTCAAACACATATCTCACGACGCAAAGTTTCACAGAAAAAAGTCCGCTGTTTTGGGGCAAGTTAAATCAATTGAATTTATTAATTGAGAGGGATGGGCCCCGGTAGGTTAAAATTCCCAAGACACACTACATGATAATCATGGGATCATCAGAGTGAACTTTTTTCTTTTGCTCTACTTAGTGTATTAAGCACTCTTCGTTTTAATGTATTACTTGCTGTTTTTTTTTTCTTTGTACCAAAGATTTAAGGTACTGGACGATTTTTTCGCCCTGTTCGGAGGTTTCTGGTGCTTTCTTTTTTCCCATTTTTCCTCGGATGCCAAAAAAAAGGCTATAGAACCCGGTCTGTGAACAGATTTATTTTATTTTGTTTATTATTATTATTATTATTTTCTTTGATTTCTGGCGTTTACACATTTCTTTCCGGGTTCCGCCCAGGGACCTAAGGTTAGAAATGACATCATGACACTTTCCACTGACACAAAAAAAAAAAAAAAAATTTACATAGATAAAGCCCTTCGTAAAGTGTGGGCTGAACTTGTCAGAACAATTTTTTGTATCTCCTTGAGGCATGGACTTCCAGGAATCCCTTCAATTAGTCTACTGCAATCTTTTCCAACCAGTCCTAGGGCTCCAACTACAACAGGGATTGTTGATGTACCCATGTACCACATTTTTGAGATTTCTATTTCAAGGTCTTTGTATTTTGACAACTTTTTGAATATCTTCAAAGATACATTGCAGTCTGCAGGGACTGGCATATCAATAAGGAGGCACTTTTTTTGTTTGTGGTCTTTAATAACAATTTATTATTATTATTATTAAAAAACATTTTTAATATAGTAACTAAGAAACTGAGGTACCTTAAAGTACCAGAGCGATGGCTGACACCTCTACCAGAGGTATGAATCAACAAATGGACTCGTTTCAAGCTCATAAGGGCATAAAAAGAATCAAAATCAACGTATAAACACGTCTGTAGCCGTGTGGAAAAACCATTTTTCATGATGGCTGCCGTTTTTTTGCATGTGTGAAAAAATGCATATACAGGTCTACACCGGGGAAGAGGTTAATCCTCACCCACTTTTTTTATTTAATTTGTTTTCTTTTTTTTTTTTTTCTTTTTAAGACATTAACATTTTACAATCATTTAAATCCGACACACACTTTTGGATTGTAAAAATTCTTTTGAGATAATAATGATTTTCTGATACACGGCCTACTATTCAGGCCAATATCTGTGAGAAGAGGTCGACTCATACCTTTCCCAATGGTATTTGTACGTAAGTAAATATAACGGACCAGATTTATCGTTCCAAGCTGTTATCCATTACACTACCTGCACATCAAAGCTTACAGCACCTGGTATTTCAAAGCGGTCATACATCTAGGTACTGACCAGGCTCAGCGTTGCTTAACTTCGGTGATCAGGCGAGAATCGCCGTTTCAACGTGATAGGGTCGTAAGCCATACTCACTCTTGATATTGAACCCTATAATTAGGAAGTCAGTTATGTGCCATGCGTGATATACGCTTAGGGGATTATGTATCTTTCCATACATGATTGACGAGACAGATTTTTTTTCCCGCAGTAGGTTGCTATTTCTTTCTGCGGTAGACCAGTTACCATCCAAGGCTATAGAACCCGGTCTATCCTGCTATTCACCCATAGCTGGAAGGAGAAGAAGAGGATTCATACCCTTCCCAAGGGCATTAGCATGTAAGTGAATGTAATGGATTACTGCCCCTTCAAAATAAAATATTAGTTGTTATATATATATATGTGTCAAAAATGTCTTTATTAGCTAAGATTGATAACGTCACTTGCATTATATTTTAACATTGTAATGAAATCTAAGTAGTTTGTTTATCTTATGATGCATCTGATGTTTTTTTTTAAAAAAACTGTTGAAGATCAGAAACAGAAATCAATAAGATGCAAAGTATTGGAAAAATTCCGAACAAAAATAAGAGAAAGGAATTGCATTGACATTAGACACGTCCAGAACCGCCCTTGTCACCCACGTTCCCTGCAATCCCAAATAACCTTGGAGCCCTTCGTGTATCCTCTGGTTGGTTCTCCGCTCTCACACTGACTCCATCCTTTTCTCATTGGCGTTTATTGTCACTGACGAATTTGCTTTCTCGTTCGGTTTGAACCCCGGCAAAAGACTCGGCCAAGACTTTATTAAATTATGTTCTGATGAGAATTTATCGGCTCCGACACAGCGGAAAGACAATGAAATTATAATTAGGTGAGTATATTTTGGGGTTTTAAGACGAGGCTCCAGCGAGATTAACCGTCGATTTGGTAGGGCGACAGAGGTTGGTGGTGGAGAAGTATTGGAAAGTATGTAGAAGATATTAGAAAGCACTGGCTGAATTTGAACACAAATTGGTGTTTTGGGGTGGCGTGATGAGTATCGAGAGGATATCGAAATGGAAATGTTAGCACCGTTCTAAACACGAGGCCCCGCCGATTTCGCAAAGTGTGGGCGTTTAAGTGAGAGACATCATTTGTTAGAGACTTCTTCTTCTTCTTCTTCTTCTTCTTCTTATTATTATTATTATTATTTTTACATCATTTTCTTCCCTTTCCTTTTTTTACCTACTTACGTTATCTTTTCATTATGTTTCTTCTTCTTCTTCTTCTTCTTCTTCTTATTATTATTATTATTATTATTATTATTATTATTTTTACTATTTATTTTTCTTCCCTTTCCTCTTTTTACCTACTTCACGTTATCTTTTCATTATGTTTCTCTCAGTGTTAACGCTGTTGTAATTGACTTCCTCCTCCTCCTCTTTCTTCTTCTTCTTCTTCTTCTTCTTCTTATTATTATTATTATTATAACGATGTATTTTTCTTCCTTTTCCTCTTTTTACCTACTTCACGTTATCCTTTCATCGTTTTCTCTTTGTTAACGCTGTTGTAATTGACGTCCACCTCCTCCTCCTCCTCCTCCTCCTTCTTCTTCTTCTTCTTCTTCTTATTATTATTATTATTATTATAACGATGTATTTTTCTTCCTTTTCCTCTTTTTACCTACTTCACGTTATCCTTTCATTGTTTTTTCTTTGTTAACGCTGTTGTAATTGACGTCCACCTCCTCCTCCTCCTCCTCCTCCTCCTCCTTCTTCTTCTTCTTCTTATTATTATTATTATTATAACGATGTATTTTTTCTTCCTTTTCCTCTCTTTTTTACCTACTTCACGTTATCCTTTCATTGTTTTTTCTTTGTTAACGCTGTTGTAATTGACGTCCACCTCCTCCTCCTCCTCCTTCTTCTTCTTCTTCTTCTTCTTCTTCTTATTATTATTATTATAACGATGTATTTTTCTTCCTTTTCCTCTTTTTACCTACTTCACGTTATCCTTTCATTGTTTTTTTTTCTTTGTTAACGCTGTTGTAATTGACGTCCACCTCCTCCTCCTCCTCCTTCTTCTTCTTCTTCTTCTTCTTATTATTATTATTATTATAACGATGTATTTTTCTTCCTTTTCCTCTTTTTACCTACTTCACGTTATCCTTTCATTGTTTTTTTCTTTATTAACGCTGTTGTAATTGACGTCCACCTCCTCCTCCTCCTCCTCCTCCTCCTCCTTCTTCTTCTTCTTCTTCTTCTTCTTCTTCTTATTATTATTATTATTATAACGATGTATTTTTCTTCCCTTTCCTCTTTTTACGCTTCTTCAAGTTATCCTTTTATCATTAATGCTGTTGTAGTTGTTGTTGTTGCGGTTGTTGTTCATTGTGTTTTTCTTTTTCTTCCTCTTCTTCTTCTTTTTCTTCTTCTTCTTCTCGTCATTGTTCTTGTTCTTAATTTTATTCTTCATCTTCTTCCTCTTCTTTTTATTCTTCTTCAAGTTATTCTTTTAATACTAACGTTGTTATAGTTCTTGTTCTTCCTCTTATTCGTCTTCTTGTTCTTCCTCTTCTTAATGTTACACTTTTATCACTAACACTGTTGTAGTTCTTGTTGTTCTTCTTCCTCTTCTTTTTCTTCTTCTTCCTCTTCTTTTTCTTCTTCTTCTTAGTGTTCTTCCTATTATTCATGTTCTTCTTCTCCTTCTTCTAGTTATACTTTTATCATTAACGCTGTTGTAGTTTTGTTCTTGTTCTTGTTCTTCTTTTTCATCTTTTTCTTGTTGTTATTATTCTTCTTCTTCCTCTTCTTCTACTTCTCTTCTTCTTGTTCTTCTTTTTCCTCTTCTTTTTCCTCTTCTTCAAATTATCATTTTATTATTAACGCTGTTGTTCTTGTTCTTTTTCTTCTCAGATTTTTCTTCCCTTTCTTTTTTCTCCTCTCCGTCAAATTATCCTATTATCATTTTTTCTCTTTATTAAGGCTGTTGTAGTTGTCTGTCTTCTTCTTCTTCTTCTTCTTCTTCTTATTATTATTATTATTATTATTATTTTTGTTGTTGATGCTGCTGCTGCCGTCGTTGTCGTCGTTGCTGTTGTCTTTTGTTTAACGCTTATCTCAACTTCTTTATCTGCTTCATTTCTTTTTTTCTTTCTTTAAAATGCCATTAAACATTACCTTCTCTTCTTCATAATTTGTCGCTTAAAATTCTTTTCTTCTGTCTTTTTTCCTTTTATTTCTCTTTCCTTTCTTATAGTTCGCTCTTTTTCACCCGTCTTCCTTTCATGATTTTGTTTAGCCATTCGTTTCTACTTTTCCACAGAATTTTCGTCTCTTATTTCCCTTTTCATCAAATATTATTTCCTCTTCTCCCATCTTTACCCCAAACAGTTTCTTTCTTTCTTTCTTTCTTTCTTTCTTTCTTTGTCTTTCATCTTTCTTTATTTTTCGTTTCCTTCTCTACTTCCGACTTCCATTCACTCTTTCTTCCTTTCTTAATTTGCCTTTCATTTTCCTTTATTTTTCCTTCTCTCCTTCCGACTTTCATTCAGTCATTCTTTCTTTCTTTCTTTTTTTTCTTTCTTTCTTAATTTGTCTTTCATCTCCCTTTATTTTTATTTTCCTTCTCTCCTTCCGGCTTCCAGTCTTTCTTTTTTCTTTCTTTCTTTATCTGTAATCTTCCTTTATTCTTTCTTTTCTTTCCTTCAAGCTTATATTCTTTCCTTCTTTTTTGTTTCTTTTTTTTATTTCCTATCAAGTTCTTGCATATCTTTCACCATTTATTTCTCCTACGCCGTACTCCATTATAGCTTCTATTTTCTCATCATTATTAATATTGTTATTAATATTATTTTTCGTTGTCTTTTCGTCATCGTCATCACCATCATCATCAACACCACCATCACTATCATTATCATCACATCATCATCATATGTGTTTATTTGCAAAGACATTTTTCCTTTTTACGCCATTCTCTTGCTTTCGGGTCCCATTCGTCATAATAAAACTTTTTGGCGCTAAAATGTCCCGTGACAGAAAAACAAGTTGCAATAAATCAACATAAAAAAAATACGTCGAAAACAAAATCCGACAATTTCATTCAATTTTCTGATGAACTTCACTGATGTCTTCTCGATGACCAAAGTTCTGCTAAAAACATATTACCAGGCTTCCTTTACTGTTTGGAAATAGTAAAAAAAAATATCGTTATATATTTTTTAAGTATGAAACCCCTCGATAAATGTCAATGTTTTCTTTCGATTCGGTGAATGCAAATCCGAGTAATTTTCGTCCTACTTCGACCTGTGGTCAGTGTTCGAACCCAGCTAAAAGGCTGGATTTCGAATACTAATTTTCAAAACCTCCACACATGACAGGCACTGAAAGAAACGTACACGAATTTCTAAATCAGATTGTAAAGGAAAACATGATGAAAATACTAACCATCAGTTCTTAGAAGAGAAAATATGTGGTCATTATCGAAAGCCTAAGATGCGGACTAATTCGAGACGTGACTATCAGGCCAGTACAGAAATTTAACTATCAGAGAAATATGATAGAGAAATCCGAAGAATGTTGGGTACTTGATATTTCAGGTAAAGGAGATGTGGTTCTACAGAAAGAGGCTTAGAAAATAATGAATGGGACATGTGAACATCGATGAAGTTATACGGAAAATGGGAAGCAAAAAAAAAAAAAATACACTCGTAAATAAAATCTGAAAGTGATAGTTAAAATTTCAGGGTCTCGTAATGAAAAAAGTGTGCTCGGAGAATCTGAACTCACGGGATAAATTGAAGGGAAAAGGTTTAGCTGGAAACTTCGAGCAAACTAATTAAATACCTTGTGTAAATGGATGACTGGCAGAGGCTGAGAAAGATAGTAAGAGGGCAAACATTGCTTAAAGAATGGTAAGTTGTGGAGTGCCGTAACAACCTGCCACATAAAATAAGAAGGCCACTTATTTGGGCGACTGGATTCAGACCGGGAAACCCAGTTGAGAAACCAGAGATTTTGGTGGAATGGTGAGCAAGCTTGTCTCGCTGAAACAGTTACGACTGAATAGTGAGTTCGATCCTAACGGGGTGCTCCACATTCTCGGCCGTGTGCTACACCTAAGCTACGTTTAGAAAATCAGGTCACCACAACGTGGTGTAATGGTTAGCAAGCTTGTTTCGCTAGATCAATTACGACTGAACAGTGAGTTCGATCCCCGCTGGGTGCCCCATACTTTCGGCCTTGTGCCACATCTAAGCTACGCTTCGAAAATTGCTATGGAGATTTTTAAGCGCAAATCTCTATATCAGCCTTTCTCAACCGATGCCCCCGGATCCACTAATACGCCCTAAAAAGCAGCCAGCCACTCCCCAAGTTAATAGAAAAGCAATTTATTAAATTATTTTATATTTAAAAAATCTTTATTTTTAACAGGTTTAAGACACCAAGCGTATGGCGTCCATATTTTAAACTGGATGCTAAATTCCTTAATCTTTAAGGAGTGGATAATCCTTTACCTTTTGCCTGCCTCAAGGGTTTTAAATCAGTCATTATCAACATCTAAAAAAATAGCAGATTCTTTAAAAATCACTTTAAATGAAAACTGTACCTTTAATCTTGTTTGGGAATGGTAAACCAAACTTTCATATTTTCAAATTTCATGACTAATTTTTCCTTATTAAAATGTAAAATGCGCCTTAGAGATTTCGTTATTCTACAAGTACGCCCGATGTATAAAAAAAGATTGAGAGAAACACTGCTCTATATGTGTACAGATCATAATAATCCAGTCAAGGATAATTCAAGAATTTTATAAATATCTTTCATTGCTGATTGCTTCATTATCTTGATGATATTCCCATTTTCAATATCAGAGATTTTATCGACGTTGTATATATTATTATTACTTACAAGAAGACAACAACAACAATAGTGTTTACGTATAGAGCAGTAAATTTGACTACAATTAGAGAATCTATTAATTCTCAAACGAAAAAGGACTCTTACGGCTTGAATAGTTCAGAATAACTCTCTCAAGAAAAGTGAATCTAAAATATAGAAATATCATGTTCACGACTTTACACAAGAGAATCAAACTCGTTAAAAGATTTAACTCTTGTATGTCTACAGTGGAAAATAGTTCTTGTAAGAATAGACTAATCGAGAAATAACTGTATCATCTGAGAATGACTTTCACTAACAGAAATATCGAACATTATTTACATTATTCGGACTATTGTCCTCATCTTTGTCGCCATATTTAACACAACGTTTCGGCCATTGTACGCTCCAGCCTTCTTCAGGTGGTTGGAATGTGATAAATATGGCGACAAAGATGAGGACAATAGCCCGAATAATGTAAATAATGTACATAATACCTCACCTCAGAAATATAGACAGACTCAGAAATATCGAAAAAATCCTTATATGAATAAAAATATCGCTTTCATGACTTTCAGACTACTCTCGTTAAAAGAAGTCGACGTCGAACACAAGAATAAAACTTTTATTCTTTTTAGATACCATATCCCTTCGGTAAGTGGGTAATCATGCTTCTTTTT